CCTTCGGCCGTTTTCTCCTCTGTCGGCCTCCTGGGAGGCCCTCGTCGCCACCGCCGGATTCGCCTCGAAATTCTGGTCAGAGCGCACCCCGGGAGAGGTCCGGGGAGTAGCGGTATCGGCACCTTTTGGTTTCCCCATTGGCCGTCTGGATCCGATCGCCGATCAGGTTCAGATGCTCCGACGATCGTAGAAGACACACTCCAGGCCTCCCAGATGTGGTCGGAGTAGACGGGGTCGGAGGATCTTTCCGGATCGCCGATGCAGCGGCGATGCGGCTCGCTGTGGAGCCCGATTTTCTTTTATGCCGACGTCGCCGACGCATCGCCGACGTCGCCGATGTATCGTCGATGCATCGCCGATGCACCAGTGATGCATCGGCGATGAGGCGCGATCCTCCGGCCCCATCTGCTCGGACCCCATCTAAGAGGCCTCTACAGCCAAGACGCTGAAATAAGGACCGCTTTGGGTTCGGAAGGGGCTCGGGGATTTGGGTCGTTTCTTGGATCTATGTCGCGGGATCTGCTTGTGGCCTAGGCCCACCGTGGCCAGAAGCGCCCAATTGTTCCTTCCTTGGCGTTCCTTCTGGCAGCACCTCGACTGTATCAGATGCTCTGGCGATAGAAGAGGACACGCCCGCATAAGCGTACTCCAGATTTCGTAATAAAGGGAGGGGGGTCTCATTTCGGGGGGGGTCTCCTCCAGGCTATCTTGGAGGGCCTGGGGCGTCTGGGGACGATGTTTTGGAGGGTTCTCCCACGGGGGAGGGTCTGAAATGGCTTTTCTGGGAGGGTCCAGACCCCCTCCCTTTTCTTACGAAATCTGTAGTAAACTTTCGACGGTCCGCGCGGCGTTCTTGGCTCTGCGCCGGGGCCCTCCGGCGGCGCCCCCGGCGCCGCACGGGGCGCCCCCACGACCGCCCTGCAGGGGCGGCACGGGCGGCGGCGACGGGGCGCAGCCTCGGCGGGCCTGCCCGGCGGACCAAGGGCGCCCACGGGGCGGCGCGGGGGCGGCAGCGGTGGAGAGTCCTCGGCGGGCCCGTGCGGTTTCTCAAGTAACTCAGAGCGTAAATTGCCTACTCCAGAATTCGTAAGAAAAGGGAGGGGGTCTGGACCCTCCAAGACAAGCCATTTCAGACCCCCCCCCCGTGGGAGAACCCTCCAAAACGTCGTCCCCAGACCCCCCCAGGCCCTCCAAGATAGCCTGGAGGAGACCCCCCCCCCGAAATGAGACCCCCCTCCCTTGATTACGAAATCTGGAGTACCCCGCTTTCGCTTCCAGGCAGAACCAAGGCATACCGCGCGCCTCCTCGTCAAGCGGCCTGGCCAGTAGAGGTCGTAGTCTGGCGTCGCTGGGTATCTCTTGGAAGCGAGGGTGGTCAAACGCGAGGTAGGTTTGTTTGCCCCCTAGGAACGCGGGTAGGACGCTTAAGGTGCAAGTCTTGAGTGGGAGAGAGCAGACGTCTGAGGCAGTTCTTCCTGGGCCACAGGTGTCCCTAGCACACCAACAAGGGATGTGGTGCCAGCTGGGAGGTGCAAGCTGTATGGTGTGCAAGCTACATGGTGTGAGTTCCGTGGTGAATTCTACGTGGTGCACGCTCTGCGGTGCAAACTATTTGGTCCTAGATATGTCATGCTGAGTCATGCAGGCTAAATTGGACGGCCACGGGGCGGCCACGGCGCGGCCACGGGTGGCCCTGGGGCGGCCACTGGCGGCCATGGGGCGGCCACCAAACAAATTCTCGGGTAACCCACCCAATTCCCCAGCAACACGTACCTGTCGAAGAACCCACCCCTTTCTAAACACGCGGAAGCTATCAACAGGACCTCTCAATGCACGAGCGCGTTGGGGGTTTCCGCAGTACTCTTGAAAGCTTCGCCAGATAACCTCGGTCCACGCTCAGCACGTATTCCCGCGACTCAAATCACGAAGGGAAGGTGAGAAGGTAGAAGTGCCATGCGAACCCTGTTTCTGGGACCTTCGGTGGAGCTCCCTATGCCTCCTTTGGGGCCACGGAGTGAGCGGTGCGCCGACATGGGGTGGGTAGCCATGCGGTCCTTGCCACTGGGGCCTTCGGTGGAGCGCCCTGTGGGGCCACGGAGCGAGCGATGGGGTTACGCCGAGAGGAGGCGGACCCTGCCACTGGGGCCATTGGTGGGATCTTGCCTAGACGCGCTCGAGTCGTGCTGGACTTACACGGTTTTGGCCCTATTCTGGTTGAGTCTCCTCCTCCTCCTCCTCCTCCTCCCCCTCCTCCTCCTCCCCTCCTCCTCCTCCTCCTCCTCCTCCTCCTCCTCCTCCTCCTCCTCCTCCTCCTCCTCCCCCTCCTCCTCTCCCCCCCCTCCTACTGGTTGTGTTCTGACTAGCTTGGTTGTGTTCTGGTTGTCTTTTGGCTAGCTTTGCGTTGCACGGTGTTACGCCTCGGCCTCGTGCGGGCCCTGCTACGGGGGCCTTCGGTGGAGATCCGTTCTGGGCAGCGAAGCGTGTGTGGGGTGCGCAGACC